CACTGTTTTCTTGGAGGTCTTGCAATGGATAGGTCCAAGAAAACAGTGGAAGAATTGATTTTGGATTTCGATCGAGCTAGAAGAATCAGAAAGGAAGCGGCCCAGCAGGCCCGAGATCGGCCTCCCCCAAGCCGTGGCGTAAGGTATATAATCTCTCAAAAGAAGAAATTCAAGCTTCTCAAAAGCCGGGCTTTGCGCACCGCCTCCGCCGCCGCCGTGAACGGCCCGAAAATCTCTGCTTCTGGTGTCTCCATAGCACAAAAGAGATTCCTGGTGATTTTCAACCCTACAAACCTCAGAAAAGCCAGAGAGGTTGTAGATTATCTGGTTAGTTTTGTTGATGTAGAGGCTGAGCTGGAATTGAGGTCTGGATCGGACGTTGAACATATAGACCCTAGACCTTACCGGGCTGTACTTACTATTGTAATTTTTTTTAAAAAAATCTTTTTTACCATCTTTTCTTCAATTTATAACCTTTTGCTGTACAATTAATGACTCTTCATTGTTTAAAAAAAATAATCCTCAGGGAATTAATGAGATGATACAGGCAGACTTTTTTAAGTATTGGATTGAGATTGGGGTGAAGGTTATCAATGGGGGCCCAGACCCCAAGACTGTGGGCATGAAGATGTTGGGGGATTCTCTCTGCTGGTGATTCTTTCCTATTAAAAACAAAAAAAATCTTTTTTTTCTTGCTCTTATTTTTAGTTTAGACAATACATGCAATATGGTGCTTGTTCACTGGTATGTGCTATTTTACCAGAATGGTCCTTTAATTCATCATGTGTTAGGGCAGATTGGTTCTGCAAGACCTCACTCCATGTGGATTGCATGGTATGTGAAGTGTTAGGGGCTGTTTGTTTCAGTTTCTTAATGGTTCAGATGTCTGAATGGTTTCAGCACTTAATGGTCAGACTGTTTGTTTCAGCCTCTTAATGGTTCAGATGTCTGAATGGTTAAGAGATTTGCCTCTAAATGGTTAAGTATTATACAGAGTCTGAATGGTTAAGATCTCTTATCTGAATTGATCAGACATTTGCCTCTGAATAGTTAAGCAATATACTAGCTCTTAATGGTTTAGACCTCTTACTGGTTCAGCACTTACCTATTCAGAAGTTGCCAAACAGCCCCTTAATGTTGTACTCCTAATACTACCATAATTTCAATGATCTTTCCTCTAGGCCATCAAGTTTGTGCATTTTACACTTATATATGTAGACATTCACGATATGATGTGGCATGAATTTAAAGTTTAAAGAGCCATATAATTGAGCGGTTTCGTGGGATCGATACTTCATGAAGGAGATATAGATAAAAGTGTCCGGTTCTTAATTGAAGGTCTCTTTGCATTGATTGCATAAATCAAAGAAAGGTTCAGGTAGATTGACATTGATTTAACTTTTCTATCTAAAGTTTGGAATGTGCATGTCCCCATCTCAGTGATGGTGCTGGTGGAAATGAGAATGTGCAACTACTACAAGCTGCTAGAATTTTCAATTACGTGGATTTAAGACTTGAGAGGCTTATAAATATACTAGGACTAGGAGTCCTAAATTCGGTGTTTTTTGCGGAAGAGCCATCATTGCTTGTCTCCCACTTTAACTAGGGTAAAATAACACCACCCACTTCACCAGGACGAAAATTAGATCTTTCCCGAATCTGGTAATTTCCTGCTTTTGCGCAAATCACCCCATCCCTTGCCTTCATTATCCCTCCTAAAGTGGAACTTCCATAACTTCTTTCTCCATCAAAAGAAGATATACATGTGTCTTCCACATTTGAAATGAAATCCTCGAAATATTTCTCAGCTTCCATTGTTAGTTGTCTAGAAAGCCTGTCTGGGTCATTACTCTTGTGAACAAAGTGTTGTAATCATAAAACCAGAGCAAACTAGATCAGTAATTAAAGTTGACTCCATATTAGAAGAATGAATCAAATTTATTAAGTGCAACTATTGAGTGCCCGACATTAGTTGTCTAATGGGTTTGAGTCATCTCTTAGGATCATTCTCAACCATTTGAAGTGAAGTAAACTCAGTTTTACAATATCATTGCCTGGTCTGGTGGTTGTTTGTGAGGTGTGTGCGCGCTTGATGGTTTAGTGCCTGTTTTGGGATTGGTTTGATTACATTGGTCCACTCCTTAAGTTACTCAGGTTAGGTTGGGCTGAGGGATGTGCAAATCGGTTGTCTACATGGTTTGATGCTAATATATAAGTTGTCTACTTAGCTGTTTGGGATGCACCAATTTAACAGCAGCGCAACAATTTGCATTCCAACGATTTAAGTAATAGCCTGAAGAAACACCTTCCTGCCGTTCCTGGTTCGTGACGACTTCATCTCAACAGCAGAATTTTTTGCGATGATCCTAGAAAGCTCCCTACCCTTTTGATCATCCAGCATTGCAGCTAGAATGTCTTGGTTGTGCTTTTCAGACTGTTGGTTTCACACTTTCACATGTATAAGACCATCAGTTTTGATTCCAAATTTTCATGCTGATAAAAGATCAAACAGCTGCTTATACTGTGTGTGTAACTTAAGAAGTGAGAGGAGGTAGCTACTGCTTTTGTTTCATTCCTGGAAAACCAATGAGTGCAACTTGTTCAGCCCCGCACCCCATAAATAATAACAAGATACAAACAAGGAACATAAGCTAGGAGAAACAAACCTCTTCCAACCTTGCAACGTAAGTGCTTCTAATGGCATAATCCAGCTGAGAGTGGTTGCCACTCTTCCTTGTCAAACCCTGTATGAGTTGCAAAAATGTACTTAATACCATATACTCCGTATAAAGGATACATCAATGATTGGCAGGTAAAGTCTCTGAAGAATTATAGTTTAATGGAGTGGTGTCTTGGAGCATACTTGTTCAACCTCAACTTTGAATTCTTCAACAGCATATCTAAGTCCGTTCTTCATATAACCCACTAGTTATGTCATCTTGAGTAGGGTGTTCAGCCTGTGAAAGAAAAAATGAGTCACAGAAGCATCATAAGACACCATGGTCAGAGTGTGGGCAAAACAAAATGTCCTTTTAATCCAATTTATGCACAATCAGCCATTTGGGGTCACTGTTATCAGATTTTATACATATCATCCATTATTAATTCACATGGGGTAACGACTTCACATTCTCATCGCAACATTATTGTTCCCTGTGATCATTTACAGAGTATTTTTAATACAAGTTTCATGTTCATTATTAGCATCACTAAATGCATAGTGAATAACAACCCCAACAAAACCAGTCCAGTCCTGCCATTGGCAGGGAGTGCACTAGCCATCCAGTGTGGGAGGAAACCATAGTTATTACGGCGTCGCCCAGGCGTCCAGTCGGAACTTTTTTCTCGCCATGCTCCTTCGACTCGACTTAATTTCCGGAGCTCGCCTAGTCGTCGCCGCAGGGACGCCTAGACGTCCATCGGTACGCCTGGGGCGTCTTACGCCGTCGAATTCCAGATCTGAATGGCGAAGAAACCCTACGATCGCTAGATCTTTTCGGATCAGATGCGAGAGAGCCGAGAATTAAGATGCGACCCGACCCGACCCTTCAATTTTACGGAATTCCCAGCGACTACCGACTAGATTCCTGACTTTTGACTTGTATTTAGACTTTTCAGATTCCTGTTTTCCTTAGCACTAAGTACCGACTAGCACTAAATCCCCCGCCTAGCACTTCCTATTTTCCTTTAATATTAACCCTATATGTGTTATGTTTTACCATTTATTTCCTTTAATTAGAAGATGTCTTCTATTAGTGTTTTCATTTTTTATTTGTTATTTTCTATTTTTGAAAAGAACATTAATATAATATAATATAATATAATATAATATAATATAATATAATATAATATAATATAATATAATATAATATAATATAATATAATATAATATAATATAATATAATATAATATAATATAATAATGTACACACACAGGAATATATATATATATATATATGTATGTATGTATGTATGTATGTATGTATGTGTGTGTGTGTGTCTATATATATATATATATATATATATATATATATATATATATAATTTTGTCGCCTAATCGTCGCCTAGGCGTCTAGGCGTCATGGCGATACATTGGCGCCGCGCCTCGCCTTGGCGCCGTGATAACTATGGAGGAAACTGCAAACAGTGTGAGCATGTGAGAGCATTATGATTTTAATTTTCAATCCGGCCAAGGCAGATGGAGTAGGTGATGATTAGTGAGATTAAACAACAAGATGAAGATGGAATTTTGAAGTTCAATGGTCTTATGATGGTTTGCATGCGTTAATTTTTTGTGTGGCAAATCAAGTCTCTTTAACTTTGAAAGCGAACAAGAGGGTGCGAAATAGTAAAAAACTGTTGATACTTGAACCACTCTAGGAATTATATGCTCCCTCCGTCCAGATAAATTCCTTATGGTTTAACCATTATAGAGTTTAAGACTGGCTGAGAACGCACAACGTGCTTTTTTCCTGTGACTTAGATGTTTATACATGATATACAAATCGTGAGTTATCGTATGTATGACGTGTAGGTGATTCTTGAGAATAAGGCTTTGTGGAAATCGGGGGAATATGTTTAGTTGACATCGTATTTGGGAAAGAAAAAGAAAATTACTAACAACTGAGGACGAACTTCAAGAAGCATGTTTTTGGACCCACAAAGCGTTACTAACATCGTATTTTGACAAATTACTACAAAAAATGCATTTAACACCGCACTTTACACAGCACATAGACTGAAATCGGTGTGTAAAGGTTATGGGAAAGAGATGCTCGCGTTTCCAATATGGGAAGGCGCTCATCAATTTTAGTTTTTACTCTTAAGCATCGGATTGCACAATATCCGCTGTTAATGTCTTCAGCGCTTCAACATTCCAATCCGCTACAAAGTACAGTCTTCTAGAGCAAACCACCATCTCCACCAATTCTACCCTCCTCTACACCGACGCCTGAGCTCTTCAACAGCAAATCTAGCCGCGCAAGACTCCTGAGCTACCAATCGCGGCATTGTTTCGCACCAATCACTTGGTTCTGTTTCAACCAGTGCCTCATTCTTGTATTGTTTCTTTTGTTTTCATACCATTGCTAGTTTTTGTTGCTTTGTATATCTTTGCCAGCATAGAGTCAGTACAACAAGGATTCTTCACTTGGTGTTCTTTTGTGTATAATTGTTTTAAGTGGATTTGTTGGCGCATTATTTTTAATTATTTATTATTTAATCTTGCTTTATTCCTGATTAAGAATGGATTTTTTCATGTTATTGGCTGTTTCTATTGTGCTCATAAATAACTACCTTCTTCCAGTTTCAGCATTTTCGTTGGGCCATTTGCATCATTAAAATGCTTCCATTTATAGTAGCGATAAAATATGTACGGACACAGATCTGACTGGACATGCTGGAGCAGCACCCTCGGCCAGGATACAAAAGGGTTCACGGAGGTTTTGGTTTTGGTGATGGGAATGAATCTGGTAAGGATGTTTTTGACTTTTCTGCATCGTATTGACTTTGTCTCTGGGGATATTCTAATTGCCAACGACCAAGCAGACGGCTCCCTCACTCCTGTCTATTCCTTCACTCCTGGAAGAAACAAGACGTTCTCGAAATCATTTAAGGCTGGCAAGTTTCCTCAAGCAACTGCCTCTATGTCGCCCAAAGAGTCTCACTCCACTCTGTGATCTACTGAACTTATTGGAATTTGTTCACACCTCTTAGTATTTATTAATTTGTTCCCTGCCTTAACTGTAGGCGTTCCTGCGTTTTGAAACAATCACGGGGTTTTCATGTGCTGTATTATTAATGTCAATTGCTATATTATGTGCATTTCTAGTAAACTGTTTTGGAGGATGGAAATGACTTCATTTGCTGATATAATCAAATGCAAGGGTCTAGCGACAATCACTTGGTTCTGTTTCAATCAATGCTAGTTGCTATTGTTTTGTATATCCTTGCCAGTGAAGAGTCAGTATAACAATGATTATTCACTTCACTTGGTTTTCATTTGTGCATATTTGTTTTAAGTGGAGTTGTTGGCACATTTTTTCTAAAAATTTAATCTTGCTTTATTCGTGATCAAGAATGGATTTTTTCCCCATAATCTGACTTGGCTGTTGCTATTGAGCTCATAAATAAATACCTTGTTCCAGTTTTCAGCATTTTCATCGTGCCATTTGCATGCATTCATTTATAATAGAGATAAAATATTGATTGACACAGATCAGAGTGGACATGTTGGAGCAGCATGCTCAGCCAGGATACGATAGGGTTCATGGAGGTTTTGGTTCTGGTTACGGGAATGAATCAAGTAAAGATGTTTTTAACTTTTCTGCAGCTTATGACTGTCGCTGGCAAACACGTGGTATAAGAAACGAGAATCACACTCGGTGACTTATAGAAGTGCAGCAAATGGGATCCTCAGTCTTTTGTAGTCTTTAACCAGTACACTATTATAGTGCTGGGTTTTCAGATTTCTCCTAGTAGATGCAGACATGCGGTCTTGCATCTAGAAGGTAGTATAATGGTCTGGAAAGAGCGGTCCCGGTGTGCCTTTCATCTCTTCAGGATATCTGCCGTATGATTGATTACGTCCAGTAACCCACTTTCTGTGTGATAAGTTACTTCTCTCTTCTCCAATATGGGTTTGTAGGCAGAAAATCTGGACTTGTTTCTGCCAGAAAGGTTCTTTTGGAAATTGGACAATGTCTTTCTTTAGCATTTTGTTTTCCTTGGCATATTTCAGGATTCAAGCGGACCCTTATGGTTCACAAAGAAGGAATCAGTTAGGGGAAGTGTTGAGATTGGGCGGGGGTGGGTTGAGAAGTTTATTGGGGAAGTTGCTTACTGGTCCATANCCCCCCCCCTTGTTCATCTTGTTGCTTGATTTTGTAGGTATTGACAGTGGCTGGCTGCATGAGCCAGAACCGTGCCCTTGAAGGAATCTTCTTGAGAACAATTTCCAAATGGTTGGTTTTGAGCATCATATCGGTTTGGTGGGTATTCTCCCGAGCCCTATGCTCCCTACTCTCTTCAACTACTACTCACCACAGTTTGGGACTTAACCAAATTTTATATCTGATCCTCAGGAATGTCGAAATGATTCGGCACGACAAATGGTGGATTGCCTGCCCACGACATATGCAATGGTACGTCAATTTAACCTTCTTTTAATTGCTGAATTTATATAAATTTGTTCCTTTTCTTCGTAATCTGTTATCAAACCTTCTATGTTTATGTTTTCATATCTTCCCTCTGCACAAAACTTTTGTTAGTACTAGGTCCAGTCTCTCTGAATTTATGGCAGAAGTTTTAAGTAGACATACATGTGGTAGTATTTGTTTGAGAGCCATGAAATTGAGAATTTGTAACTGTTCACACTAAAAGAAGCCATAATATGAATATCTAGTTTTGCTGTAAAACTAAAAAGAAGTCTTGAAAAGACATATATGCCATGTTTACACAAGAACAAATCCAGTAAAATCCCACAACTGAGTGGGGGGGGTGTCTATGCAGATCTTACTCTTACTTGATTGCAATAATTTTGATCTGCTCTATTTGATTGTAGGTAGAGACGAGATGTAAACTTGACTCTCAAAATGATGCAGCCTTGCCTATTTTACTATCTGTGTGATTTGTTTGTATTTTCTTCTCACGTTTTAAGCTTGTGGTGACGTGGAACTCTTATACTCCCTTCGTCCCAAATTATTTTGTGTTTGTTCGCTATTCACAAGGTCAAATTTTATCTATTTTCGTTACTCATTTGATAAAATAACATATTAATGTCACCTCTTTATTATATGTAAATTTTATTTTTTTTTAATTTCTACACAATTCTCAAATAAAATGAATTGAAATTAACTCCATTCAAGCATCGTCGTAGATGGAAAGAAACACTATAAAATGGGACGGAGGGAGGAAAAACTAATAGAAATGAAAAATGAAGTGGTAAAAAGAGTATATAGATGCCATAATTATTTGGTGAAGGTGCTAAAATACTAACGAAAGGACAACTTGCTCTAGATGTTTGAAGTTGTTAGATTTAGTAAAGGTGCAAACATGGATCCAATTTGCTGCATCTTCCACTGTGGTTGCAATGATAAACATCCGCTATACCTTGTAGAGCAAACCACCAAATCTCCACCAATTCTACCTTCTACACAGATGTCTGAGCTCTTCTACAGCAAACTTCTGAGCTCTAGCCTGGCAAGCCACCAATCGCAGCATTGTTTCGCACCAATTGCTGCATTGTTTTGCTCCAATTGCGATCCTGGCAAGGCTTTGAAGGTAGATGACATGGGAAGCAAACACCGCCTAGAGGTTTCTTACCCAAATATTTTAATCCCTTTATAGTTAATTCTTTTCCATCTGCTCCGATGGAGCCAAAATTTCACCATTTTTTTGGCTTTGGACTGTGATGGTATAAATCAAAATGGATCTCTAAACTGTCTGCGCTTCTTTAATTAATGAAGTAGCAGTTAGTGAAGCAATGCAACTTTCGACGTTGAGCCGGGAGTCTCTTTGGAAACAGTCTCTCTACTTTCGAGTAGGGTAAGGTCTGCGTATACACACCCTCCCCAGACCCCACTCTTGTGGGATTTAACTGGGTTGTTGTTGTTTGATATTAGGTTTTTGATTTTGTGTTTTAATGAATATATGACAGTGCTGTTATTATTATTATTTTTGGTTTTGCCCCCTATGTTTCATGTCTTAACTTCAAGAATTTCTTTCACTGTTTGAAGATGGCCAAAGATTTATTTTGTTGCTAATAAAGAGTATCTAACCCTTAATGCTATGTTTGGTTCAAGGAATTTAAGATCGGAAAGTGGAGTGAGATTATCCTAGACACAAGTTACAGCAACAGCAAGCTCTTTGGGCGACATAGAGACAGTTGCTTGAGGAAACTTGCCAACCTTAAATGATTTCGAAAACGTCTTGTTTCTTCCAGGAGTGAAGGAATAGACAGGAGTGAGGGAGTCGTCTGCTTGGTCGTTGGCAATTAAAATATCCCCATCAGGAAGGTTTCCGACGAGAGTGATTGAAGATTTACCCCTTTGTAGCAATTCGGAAGGCCAATTGATATCGTACTTATTCCACTCACAATATATATCCTCTGCAGAGTGGGTGAAGAGGCGCAACGATCTCCGTTGTACAGAACAGTTAGATAGAGCAATGTCTCTCCCATAGATTGAGGGTATGCCGGCGGTGCGGAAGAACCACACCGAGTCGGAGACAGGTGGGTATTCATTAGAAATTGGGCGGAGATGCTCATGCGTCGCCGTGAGATCAAAACAAACACGAGAGTTTCTATTTCCAGTCCACCACAATAGTCCATTCACACAAAAAGTTTGCATCTCAAGGGGATGCACAGGTATGGGATGAGGTACTTTTCTCCAGTGGCAGGAGGAGGAGAGTGGGTCACTGGTTGTGAGAACCTGAGGCACCTTGAAAGGTGGGCACTCGCACAGACCACCACCAGGGCCGGGACATCCTTCACGACACATATAACTAAAGCTAAGTATCTTATATGCATTATGCATGGCATCAAAACCGAAAAAGTAACGAGTCAGAGTGCAGTTGGTAGCTTGCTCAGCACCACGTAGGAGAGGGATATGATGTCGAGCTTCCCAACTTCACGAGTTTCGGACAACCAAACATCAACACGTGTAACACAGAGTGCATCAGGGCAGGCGTTGGGGGTAGTGGGAGGTCAAGGATTTCGCCTGTGCATATACTAAAAAGACTCAACCTATATATTGGCGGAGTAGAGGCACACAAGGCCATTCACGACTTGAGTCATCCATTGGTAGTAGTCCCGGCCTCGGGGGACCCTCAGGCGAGGGACAAAAGCGAGGCTGTTGGCGGTGGTGTTGTTGTTCGGACAGAGGCGAGTAATATAGAAGACGAACTCGTCAGAACCAACGGTGGCAATGTGTGAAGGCTCGTGGTTGAGGCTCCGGTGCACCTTGATGAAGTCAGGGGAGCTTATGTAGCTGTGCCATTGCTTACACACGCACTTTGCTCGGCAAAAATATCAAAATCAATGAATAATTTATGAAATAGTGATTTTATTAATTATAATACCTATATAATTGATTAAATTAAATAATATAAATTTAATATCTTAAATACATATAAGAAATATATTTTAAATATTTCATACTTTGTATTATATTATAAAATGATATTAAAATCATTTGATATTATAAGAAATGTTACTTGTTTATTATTTACATGATTAAAATCATTTAATTTCTTTTTTTATTTACATTAATCATTTGATAAAATAATATACTCATATCAATTCTAGTTTTGTAGGTGTTTTGATGTAATTTTTAAATATGTAATTTTTTTAATTCTATACCATTTTTTATATAAAATGATTTGAAAATAACTTCAGTCAAACATCGAAAATCGAAAAAGACGATTTAAACTAAGATATACGGATTACTTTTTTTCTTTTTATAAAAGGAATGGGCGGTTGCGCATCTAAAGCGTCAGTTTGAGGATTAAGCACCACCCCATTTTTTTAGAAAAAATATGTTACCTACTGAAAAATGCTATGGGTACACCAAAGGTGTACCCTATTTGTCCCTCACCTCCTCCATTACCACAAAAATGGGCAAGAGACTAAAAAAATTAAATAAATAAAAATGAGGAAAAAATGAGTGGTGGAGAAAGGGGTGGGGGACAAATGGGGTACACCAAAGGTGTACCCCTAGCATTGCTCGTTACCTACCACTTTGAGATGGAACTTTTAATAATTAAGCTATTCGTACACCAAAATTTGTACCTTATTTTGTACTTCAAAGCATACATCAACATTTATGTTTGTGGGATGCTAGTGTGGTGATTTACATTGACAAAAAATGTCAGTGCAAATTTTTTAATTAAACTAACATTTTGTGCCAGTGTGAACCGTTAAAATGACGGGAATTTCTTTGAGGTACACTTTTTAGAATTTTGTGCCAGTGTGAATCGTTAAAATGTCAGTGTAAACCAGTTTTAAGATTTTAATTAGAATTCTAAATTTTTACTATCACTTGTAAAAAAAAGAAAAGTGGGGTTGAATGAAGTTACGTCATTGAGGTGTTAAGATCATGTTTTTATGCGCTGCAACATTTTGTGCCAGTGTGAACCGTTAAAATGTCAGTGTGAACCAGTTTTGAACTTTTAGTTAGAGTTTGACCTTTTTACTATCACTTGTAAAACAAAAGAAAAGTGAGGTTGAATGAAGATATATCATCGAGGTGTTAAGATCATGTCTTTCGATCCTTTCATTTCCTGAGGAAGGGAAGTCCATTTGCAAGTGGTCAATCAGTTATATTCAAAATAGCCTGGTTGTCCACTTGAGGGGGAGTGTTAATTAAAGAGTATTCGAATGAATTACTAGTACTAGGTTTGAACTACCAGATTATCCAAATGAATTGCTAGTACTAGGTTTGAACTACCAGATGAATTACTAGATGTATAGTAGGTAATGAGTTACTAGATGAGTTTCCAATTTCATACGAAAAATGTACTTATATAGTACTAAAATATGATGAATTTTCTAACATAATATCATATGTTTTAATTTCTGAATGTAGCATATATCGATGTTCAATATCCACTGGATATTGTTTAAAATACATATCCACCGTCATTGGAAAAATATTCAAGTACCATTTAGAAAAAAATTAGATATTACGTTTAACCATTTATTTGAATCAGTTATTACGTTCAACCGATGCAAATAATTACCGATACGCGAATTTTTTTCCATTTAAATCGTTTGTTTCGCTGACCGATGCAAATGTGGTGATTATTTGGTCGTTTTTGTAGTAGTGTACATTGAAAAAAGATATACGGAGTATATTTTAGTAGTATTTAGTACTCCCTCTGTCTACCATAAATCTTCCCAGATACTATTCACATGGTCAAACTTAATTCACTTTGTTTGTTTATTTTTACTACTCATTTCATAGAATAATATAGTGTTGTCACCTCTAGTTTTGTAGAACTTTTAATGTAGTTTATTACTACATAGATTTTATATTAAAATTTTACCCCTATATTCAAATAAATTGAATTGAAAATAAAGTCGGTCAAGCCTCGTAACGCGCAATGGGAAGATCTTAAGTGGACGGAGGGAGTACAATTTTATTCTCTAGTTTGGAGCCTATCTAGAACACTAATAAAAGAGAACACAAATATGGGATGTATCTCAAAAGTTTGTCCTAACATAAAGTGTAAGTGTAAAATTGGTATTATGTTAGTGTTACACTTATATTTTATGTCAGGATAACATTTAGAATACAAAATGAGGTACAAAGTGGAGTGAGAGAAGCACAACCCATAATTACATTCTATAAAAGGATTATGCTATGTGTACCCCAAGTTTTGTACCCCAATTTATACCCCGCAGTTTTGCACCAACACTTTGTGTTGGTGTAAAACTAATTTTTATTAAATGCACCAACATTTGTGTCCGTGTGAATTTTTATTAACGCACCAACACTTGTGTCGGTGTAAACCATCGAAATGTTTGTGCAAACCTGTGGTGTACAAATGAGGTATATTTTTTGGTGTAAGTGTAGCATGGTCCTCTATAAAATTTCCCAAAATGGCGCATATGTTTCGACAAGATCCTTTATGTGGCTAACAAGTTTTAATGATTACAAATTTAAAAGAATTTGGTTAGATGCCGATTAGTATCAGATGTGTTTAGAGCATTTACAATGGCAAGTAAGAAATAAAATGACACACGATGACATGGAAACTTTCAACCAATAAAAAACAGTCCAGTAAGCGTGTGGCATGAGAGTGGAGTGGCAAGTCATTGTTTTTATCAATTTTACTCTTTTTGCACATTTTAATTATTTAAATTTATTTTATTTATATTTTTTTCAAATAAAAAAATAAAAATATTTCAAAATTATTTAAATTATTTAAATTTATTTTGTTTATATTTTAATAAACTATACTCTTTTTAAAAATATTTCTTATTTAAAAAAAATTGCGTTTTTTTACAAATTTTACATTTTTTACATATGTCTTATTTTTACTACAGAGTATTAAAAATGAATTTATTTAGGTTTTTTCCAAAAAAAATACATCGACTTTTAAAAAATCTTTTATTTTATGGATGAAAAAAAAGAAAACAAAAATATTGCCTCGCCCATTACTTGCCAAGCATGGCAAATCACTATAGCCTTGCGAGGCATTCTACTTCATGTGCTTATGTGGCAGGCGTGGCAGTGGCACAGCCACGCCACTGCCAGTGCTCTTATATTGAAAACTCACATTCAAATTGTCCCTTTTTCGAAATAATTAATGCCTTTAAAAATTTACACATTCCCTCCCATAAAGTCCTTCTCATTTTGACTTTTAAAAAATTTAATATAGAGATATCTTGTATTGATTTTTCAAAAATATTCTTGATGCGATTAATAGATTATTAGTAAAAATATATGACGTGATAAGTAGGGTAAGAATTAAAAGAGGTAAAAATGATTTTATAATTGAAAGAGGCCAGGAAAAATTTCATGAGACACTAAAATAAAAACTTTTTGAGACGAAGGGAGTATCTTTTACTCCGTAAGATTTTGGGAAAAAAAATCTTAGAGGTACCCCACTTGGTGTACACCAAGATAAAAAGAGACACAAACATTCAATGTTTGTACGTACACATGCATTGAGTGTCTGTTTTTTCTTGGTGTACACCAAGTAAGGTAGCCCTAGCAAAGTAAAGAAATTGAATAATAGTTGAGACTAATTGGTATAAGGTGCATATGTTTCTTAACTTTACTAATTCTGATTTGTGTCTTTATCTTTCGAGTGGATTGGAGTGTTTGAATCCTTTTAACATCATCCCCAACTATTCACATCGAATTCAAACTTAAAATACTGTTAATGTCAAATTTATAATAATCATCTTCATCCTATCACATCAAAATCAAAACAATACTTTCAAAGTACATTTTTTCTTATCACTTTTTATATTTTCAAATTAAAAATTAAAGTAAATTATAAAAAAATTAGCCAGAAAGATAATTAATGTAAATTTTTTAAAAAATTACAAAAATACTACGGAGTAATAAAGATATGAAAAAAAGAAAAATAGAGTATCCCAAATTATAACTTGTATTTTGAAATATTGTAAAACCCATCTTACATTTGAAAATGTAGTACTGTTGAAAGATGTAAAACTTCAAAACTGAATATATGTAACACTATTAGAAATGCTCTAAGTGTTCATGAACATAGATGGAAAGTTTTGGAATGGGTACTATAGAGAATTGGGATTGGATGATATATGTGTTTTGTTTAGATCAGATAGTTGGGAATGGTGCAAACTGCAAAGCAACATGATGATGCAAAAACTTAATTTCTATAAAGATAATGACGTGGGTTTTAAAAAGATCCAAATTTTAACCTATAGTATAGATTCCCTTTAATGTGAAATTTTTAAGCTCAAATAAGTTGGTGACCTATCCCTAAAGTAGTGCTCACTCTATGTGATTGTTGATTGATCTTTGACCAAACAAACAAAGCTACCAAACGGAACTTAAGATAAAGGGTGTTGTGTTACACGTTGATTATTACTCCCTCTGTCCACCATAGATCTTCCCAGATATTATTTACAGGTCAAACTTAACTTACTTTGTTTGCTTATTTTAACCATTCATTTCATAAAATAAAATAGTATTGTCACCTCTAGTTTTGTAGAACTTTTCATGTACTTTTTTACTATATAAATTTTATTTTTAAAATTTATCTTTACAATCAAATAAATTGAATTAAAAATAAAGTCGGTCAAACCTCGTAACGCGCAATGAGAAGATCATTGGTGGACGGAGGGTGTATTAAAAACGCATGCATGCGTACGTGGCGCTCCAATCCAAATTTACAAGGTTGCCTACCAACTTTTTCCCACAAAATTTCATGGAGACATCTAACTACTCCAAGTCGTCAATATAAGTCTACTTTGTATCTCTCAAATTAAATTACAATTTTTTATTTATAAGATGAACCTTTACATTTAAAAAAAGAGAGGAATTTACCTAAATAGCACTAAAACATAATGACTTTTTCTAAATAACACTACATGTGTTTTTTTTCTAATGTAGCACTTTTGGTCATTATTCAAGTAAATTTTTGTCATCACTGGTCATTATAGACAATATTAAGTGCTATTTAAGGAAAAAAACAATTTAAGTGCTATTCAGAGAAATGACTTAAATTTTAGTACTATTTAGTGTAAATATTTCTTAAAGAAATTAGTATACGAATAACGAATTAGAAAAATCAATAAGATTTACATAATTAAAAAAGGATGTCGTTATATTCACACTCATTTTAATAGTAAAGTTGTCTGTTCATCATAAATGAGATAGATTTAGCTAAAATACGAGTAAATTTAACAACCCCCATCAACAAAATCTACGTTGAAAGTTTTGCAAATAAGAGGTGAAAAGAATATTTTATTTTATCAAATACTCAATGAAAGTATATAAACAAACAAAAATTATCGAGACGTAGACCCCCAAAAAATTGTACTCGGCAATAAATTCTGGCATGGAGAGAGTATATTATTAAATGTTATTGATTCAATTATAATGTGATATGCGGACATACTTTATGATTTTTTTTGTGTAGATGTGACAAAATAATCCAAAACGCCTATTGAATCCGCAGAATGCTGGGAACTTGGAGTTTTAGGCGTTCAACAAAAAATTGGCACTCCGAGATCGACTTTTGTGTTAGTCCTATGGACAGGAAACAAACATGTTTAATAGAGTTTTCGGCCTTGTTTGGGAACGTCTTCGATTATTGTTAGCATTTTGGATAAAATTTTAATGATGTAAATTAATTCTGAAAATGCTAAAGCTAAAGGCTACCGTCGGATAATCTTTTTAAAATGTTAACGCTAATCTCTAATGCTGATGCCAAACGAGGCCGAACTCCTCCAAAAAAGCTAACCCCGAACGGGCTCTTCAATACAATACAATACAATACAATGCAATTCAATCTCATTAAATTCAATGTTGGCATGTAAATTTATGTGCAAGTTGAAAATACGGAGTAAATGAATATAGCCATTTAAAAAATGTACTTGGTATACATTTATTTTCTAAAGTAATACTACCAAAAAACTGATAATGGTCAATTGAAAGAGGATTAGGAGAATAATAAATGGGATAATAGCATGGTTGCCCCCTGTGGTTTACAAAAGGAGCGCCAAAACCCCCTTTACTTTCAAAAGTTATTTGTAAAACCCCTGTGGTTTTTAAATAGTGCACAAACAACCCCTCTTGCCTATTTTACACATGAAATGACATTTCTGCCCTTGGTTTTTCTCTATCTTCAAATTTCACTCTTTTCTTTAGATTTTTTGTTATACAAATAAATAAAATAAAATATACGCCCTCTTTCTCAAATTAAAATTTTTTAGTTATTTAATTTTCAAAAAAATAATTTTTTTTAGTAAATGTTACAAAAATGAAATAAAATACACTTTTTCATTATAAGTAAAAGTAAAATAAATAAAATAAAAAATTGGATAACATATACTCTCTCTATCTCTAATTAAAAATTCTAACTTATTTGTCTTTTAAAAGTAAAATAATTTTTTAAGGACTTTAAAAAATGAAGAACAGAAAGATGAAATAAAATATGGAGTTAAAGAAAAAAACTATTTTTTATATTTTTATTTTTTTTCATTACCTTTTTCAACTATTATTACTTTTTACTTTGTACATAATATTTTATTTTTCATTTTTTTGTAACATTCTCCAAAATAATCTTTTGTTTTCAAAAGTACATTATGAAAAATTCTAATTTGAGATGGGAAGTGTATATTTTATTTTATATATTTGTATAATAAATGAAATTGAAATTGAAAAAATTCAAGATTGGGGAAAACAAAGGGCATAAATGTCATTTTTGCTTTAAAAATAGGTAAGGGGGGCATGTGCGCTCTATTTAGAAACCACAAGGACTTTACAAATAACTTTTGAAAACAGAGGGGGTTTTGACGCCCTTTTTGTAAACCACAGGGGGCAACCATGCTATTAACCCAATAATAAAGCGGCAAAATCCACCAATCAAGTGTCCGCGCCGGCCACGCCAGTACGCCACCGTTTCTTGACGAAATAGTCAAAGCTGGAAAACAATTGGTGTATATGTCTCATTCCCAACCAACCCTCTTTTTCTTACTTTTACTTTCACGTTGTTGGTTAAAACTTGGTAGATTTTAATTTTAAAAATGGTTTTAAAATTAACTAAAATCAAATCAGATTTTAATAAAATCAGAGGATCTCATGAGTCATGAGACAAAGAGAACACTTTCTTAAATGTCCACTTTTTGAAATATCCCTAATTAAAATGCACCTAAACACATTATTAGCTTGTTCATATTTAATTGCAACGACGCTAATGAGGTGTTTAGGTGTGTTTTTTTAAGAATTTACAACTAATTGCAAATAGTGGATACTTCACTCGCTATCATATAACTTCACCTACCCATTTTTGCCTAAAAAAGTATAATTTCTATACAAATTTTAAATTTTGACTTTTAAGCTTTTGGGAAAGTCAAGAGGGGGTTTTAGATTTCGTGAGGCCTTATAAAAGTGGACGATGACATGGAGTTGGTTGTCCTTTGGTTATTGGTGACCTACTACTTGTTTCAGCAGCGGACGTTTTAGAGGTTTAAAATAAGATTTGTGAGCTTTAATTAGTGCATTTAAGATCGATACATACATACATACATAGATCAATTATGGCAGGTGATGCACAAGAACGTGGATGGGTACTTACCGTTATCATGGCGGCGGTGGCGGCGGCGGCGGTGGTGCTCTTGCCGCTTCCGGCGTCGTGTCGTCCCATCAATCCGATAACGCTTGACGGAGAACGGCGGCCGTCTCCATTCCCGCCTGGTTTCCTTTTTGGCACTGCTTCCTCTTCTTATCAGGTAACTGGATCCACACGCCTTGTTCTAGCTTCTTTTTTGCTTTGTTTTCCTTTGATTCCACTCACCCACCCTGCCATTTCATACGGAGTATACAAGTGTTTGAAACTTAAATGCTTCTGGTTTAATGGTTGAAGTATGAAGGAGGTTACATGGCTGATGGTAAAGGTCTCAGTAACTGGGACGTCTTCACCCATAATAAATCTGGTAAAATAAATCTTTATCCATTCCATAACCATATATATTTCATGCATATTTTTTTCAGCTTCACCTTCAATTTATAACTATAAAAAAAATTATGAAGTCTAAAATATTAAAATGAACTATACGTTGTAGTTGTCTGTGTGTGTACTAAAGATTCATTCTAAATTACAGACAACATAGAAGATGGAAGCAATGGAGATGTTGCAGATGATCAGTACCACCTATTTCAGGTAATTGATTAATCTCTTCTTCAGGACACTAAGTTTGATTATATTTAAGCATTTTGTTCAAAAAAAAATATTCAAGGTTTTCGTATAAAAAGTATCTCAACCGTATATTAAATTTAGTTAAATTTGAACAAATAATTGTATTTGATGATTTTGATCCAATAGTTGAAATTTACAAAAAAAAAAAAAAAAAAAAGTCTTTGTTGGCATATACGGAGTAGAATAATAGAGCCCAATAATGGATTGAATTGTCTCCTAAAAAGGACTGTCTCTATCACTGTCTACCTCAACTAAACCCCTTACCTAAATTGTAGCATTCCTTCTCCGTCCCAATGTGTTTTCTCCACTTTGACTAGACATTAAAATTAAAACTAAAACCTGTTTGATTGAGATTTTAGATTTTATGTAGAGGGGAGAAAAACAAAAAATAATACGGAGTATGAATTAAGCAATACTTTCTATAAATGAAAACACACTTGTTAATTTGGGAGATTGAGACCAAAAAGATAAACAAAGACAGATAGAATGGAAGTTAGGGCAGAGTTCATATAGGAGTTGATTTTGAGGGTGGAGTTTCCATCAATGTTATTAAACCTAGACCGGTGGGCAAACTGGCAGACCCGCCGTTTTCCGGGTTTTTCTGGGTTTTGGGTCATTGGACCGGACTGGTTTGGTGTACGCTTCCTTGTTCTTGGACCGACCAGCTGGTCTGGTCTGGGTTTAATAACACTTGTTTGCATCTCATCTCTACCTACTGTCAAATAGAGTAGATAAGAATTATTGCAATCAAGTAGGGTAAAGTCTACGTACACACACCCTTCTCAAACTCAACCCTACTTCTTGTGAGACTTTACTGGCTTTGTTGTTGCAGGTGGGTAGAATTATACATCTTTCTAAGACTTCTTTTTAAAATTACAGGAAGACATAGATATTATGGCTTCTCTTGGTTTGAACAGTTACAAATTCTCAATTTCATGGGCTCGAATACTACCAAGTATGTATTTCTATTTACAACTTCTGCCATGAAATCAGGGAGAAGTGGAATTAATATAATCCATGTGAACAACAAGCATTAAATCATTGTATATCATAGATTTTGTGGTGTACCTATACAAAACATACATATGCATATGAAGTTTTCAGTTTAATCCATGCAAGAATTTACCAAAAATAGGAGGGAGGGAGCATAGATATGAATAGACTAACAGATGAGAGTTTTGTGCAGAGGGAAGATATGGAACCATAAACACGGAAGGGATCAAGTACTATAACACCCTCATTGATGCCCTCCTATTAAAAGGTTTGATAACAGCTTACACAAAAAAAGGAACAAATTTATATAAATTCAGATATTTAAAAAAAAGGTTAAATTAACGTACCATTGCATTTGTCGTGGGCAGACATTAAACCATTTGTTGTGCTGAATCATTTCGACATTCCTCAGGAACTGGAGAACAGATATAAAGCTTGGCTAAGTCCTGAACTGCAGTGAGTAGTAGTAAAAGATAGTACGGAGCATTTTATTGTTTCCAGTTCATCCTTTTACCCAATGAATTCTCACATTGCAAAATATCCTTTCAGGGAAGACTTTGGATATTTTGCTGATATCTGCTTCAAAAACTTTGGAGATAGGGTGAAGCATTGGGTAACCTTCAATGAACCAAATATGTTCATACCTTTAGGATACCGCTCAGGAGACTACCCACCAAATCGTTGTTCAAAACCATTTGGGAATTGCTCTCAAGGTGATTCGGAAAAGGAACCTTTCCTTGCAGGGCACAATGTCATTCTGGCTCATGCAGCCGCTGTTAATATCTACAGAACCAAGTACCAGGAAGAACAAGGTGGTCAAATAGGTTTTGCTGTGCATACATTTTGGTATGAACCAGTAAGCAACTCCACCGCAGACAAGTTAGCAGCAGAAAGAGGCCAATCCTTCTTCTCAAACTGGTAAAGTCTTTCCCAATAAGCTTCTCACATCCCCCCCCCCCCACCCTGCCCCAAAGATCACCATTCTCCCAGCTAATACCTTCTTTTGTGAACCATAAGGGTCTGCTTGAAACCTGCAAATTGCTAAGGAAAAGAACATGTTAAAGTTAAAGAAATATAATTGCCATATTCCAGAAGGACCTTCAAGGCAGAAACAAATCTATGTTTTCCCTACTAAACCATTTTCGAGAAAAGAGTCATAACTTATTACACGCAAAAGCAGGTTCTTGGACCCAATCATATACGGAAGATATCCTAAAGAGATGAAAGACATATTAGGATCGCTCTTACCGGAATTCTCAAAAGAAGAGTTGGAAAAGCTAAAAACAGGAATAGATTTCATTGCCGTCAACCATTATACCAGCTTCTATGTGCAAGACTGCATCTACTCAGACTGTGGGCCTTTAAAAAGCAATAACAAAGTAGAAGGTTTCATTGGAACAAGTTCATTCAAGAATGGCATCCCGATTGGGGAAGCTGTAAGTAGTTCTATGATCCGAACTGATATAGCTCACTCTCTCCATTACTTCAATGCTTTCCTAACATCAACCTTGGGAACATATTCACATTGTGTAGACAGGGATGGGGATCCTCTACGTTTATCCGCAAGGAATGGAGAAAATAGTAACATACTTGAAAGAACGATATAACAACACACCACTTTATATAGCAGAAAATGGTAAGAGGAAGAAGAAAGCATGTGACTATATCACATTTTTATTAAACATATGGCATTTCATATATGACTGAGATAGTATAACTCTTCAGGTTATAGTGAGAGAGCAAATTCACAATCAAACATTGAAGAATTGTTATATGATATCAGGCGTGTCAACTTCATGGCCAAGTATATTGATAGCCTTTCAACTGCCATGAGGTAAGAATGAAAAGCAATAAAGACCAATATATCTCAGTAACTAGTTGTTTATAGTTGTTTAATTAAGATAAATACTTCTTACAGGAAAGGAGCCGATGTGAGAGGGTATTTTGCTTGGTCCTTGCTAGACAACTTTGAGTGGTTGTATGGCTACACCTTACACTTTGGGCTCTATCATGTCGATCGGGTCACGTTAAAGAGAACACCAAGATTATCAGCAAGTTGGTACAAACAGTTCATTGCAGAACAAAAGAGAGCTGAAATCCCAGCACCAAAATTCTTGTAATGCAGGAAGAACAATTCAATGAATGTTGTTTATACGTTATAGCATTATACTACCACTTTGTTACTCTTATAAGTGGGAAATTTAAAGTACTGATATGCACTGTAAGTTTCTAAAATGGAAATAACATTAAATTTAGAGTTGATTAGCTCAACTCAGCATACTGCCAATGTCACAACTTTATTGGGAAATTTAAAAGCATATATGTTCATTTTGGGAGGCTGGAAGCTGCATCCATTAAAAGAAGTTGAGGGAGTAAACTGTCAAAGCAATGTGCCTGATTATCTTTACACAGCTACCATCTAAACTTTGCCTGCAACTACACAATTCAAACTCACACCTATTATACTCCATCTTTACTTGCACATCTTCTTGACTCTTTTCTTTTTCAATTCTTGAAAACTTCATAAGCTAACCCACCCTAGTACACCAACCAACCAAACTCATGCAGCCGGACTCTGGTCACTGTTGTCAGAACCTGGCCACAGCCTTAACCACTCCACCCTTAATAAATAAATAAATAATTAGACCCTACTAGCAAGCAACAAGAGTCCAACACAAGGTGTTAAAGCTTAAATTGATGAGGGACTTCATCCTCTATGGCTCCATGAGTAGTGTTATCAATATGAACCATTGCACAATACTTTCCTCAAAAAGAAAAAGGTTTTGACATAGCCAGGTATTGAGGCTATTAACATGAACTACAAGGGTCATAATCTCCACCAGGGAGACCTGGCCTCATAAAGGTACTCTCCACCATCCCATGAAATTTCGCATGCCTGAAGACCAACAGCAATAGTAGGCTCTTTTCCATGTTGTGCAATCCACTCTTCAACAGCTAATGCTTTATCATTCTCACTTGCATATTCTTTTTTGTTATTTCCATATGGGTTGCACCCGGGACTGTCCATCTCAGCCATAGCAGCAGGCATATACATTGAATCCCCCACTATAGGTGCAAAGCAGGCTGCTAATTGGGCACGAATCTGTAGGTTACAGCTTGCAATTAATGACAACAGTTCCTAACCATATAACAAAAAATAATTTCAAAATAAACCAAAATATTTTTTGTTACTACGTGTTTGTTTTGCTCACCAAATAACCTAAAAAGATAAGCTTCTATAATAGAAGCCCGCCAATTGATTTATTGAGCTTTTCTTCAAGCTATTGTTTGTTTCCTGTCCACACTTAAAAGCCACAAAACATGTTTGGTGTGGGATTAGACTTTCGTTCTACTTTGTAGTGGATGCACTCCAAAACAAGCATGTCCCAATAAGCTTTTTTTTCATTCCTAACCCTTGTTCCTGCATGTAATTTTCTTCAATATGAAATTTATCAACTTCCAGTCCAGCTTACCCTAAGGTCATGTTCCATGATTGCAAAGTTTGCCTTGCAATATCAATCATGTAATGGACATGACAATAGAAAATATCTAAACTAAACACCAGTGTCAAGGCAGTCCATTGCCAATGGAGCTATAGAAGTCATTATTGACAATGTTTTAGTATTGGGAACATAATGGACTAAATCAAAATGGCATATTAAACTTCCCTTGCTTCTTACTTTTTTTATGATGTTTTGGGAAGTAAATGCAGCCATGCATCTAGGAAAACAGTATCTTGTTTTTCATGGGTAAGACTATGTGCATCTTGACCCCCAAATCCCAATGGAGTTGGGAAACTTGGGATTACAATGAATTGTTGTTGTAGTTGTTGTAATCACCTGTCTGGCTGTCTCATGATATTTTCCATACATTTAGAAATAGCCTACGAAGATGACACTTTTAGATAGTTCACCTCATTATTCCTTATGAAGGTTGTGACACCTTATGAAGGTGGTGACATGAAGGCCATTTGGTGTAAACTGTAAAGCATTGCCACAAGGCTTTTTGCATGAGTTTATAGTATTATTTAGTTTTATGCTTAAACTTTAAAGACAATGACTACGATTAGTTGGGATTAAGGTGGTGGAGAATGTTGAATCTTCCCCCTAGCTATAAGTATTTTTCAGAATTACTCCACTTTAAGGTAGTGGGTGTGTGAATGTGGCTTTTTAATTATTACTCCCTCTGTCCTACAAAAAAGTTCCAAATTTCATTTTATGTTCGTCCCAAAAAAAGGTTTCATTTTCCACTATATAAAAAGTTATTGTGGCTCATATTATTTCTCTCCTATGCACCACTTTCAACCCCCACAATTCACTTTTCTATATCTCTATAGAAAATTTTTGCATGACAGATGGAATACCATTTTTTCCAAAGACTTAACTGATGTGTTGTAGTTAAGAAAATAGGGATTGCCAGGGACCCTTTACTTGTTCAAGTAAAACAGACAATTGTTTTTCTTGCAACAAAGTCCAGCTAGCAGTCACGTTACACAGGAAACTAGTTATGTTGAACATTAAGTCACACATTCAAGACCAAGAACCACTTTAAATATGCATAAACCTACATACTTTTCCGCATATGAATATGCTTTGGGTTGAACTTAACAATGAATTCATTATAAGGATACAACATTTTCTTTTTCACAAAAACATATGGTCATATTTAGTACTCCCTCCGTCACCCTGTATTTGTCCACATTTGACTTTTGGAACTGTTCATCTTAGCACTTTGACTAATCAAATTCTCTCAATGTGTAAGTCTAAATATAGTCATGTGTGATCTTGTTTGATTTGTCTTAACATATAGATTATTAATATATAATTTTTATAATTTTTTAATATACAAATTACAAGATAAAATGGATTAAAGAAGTGCATTGGATGGTGTGTAAAAATGAAAGTGGACAAATACAGGGGGACGGAGGGAGTAAGACTATTGAAACTACAAGCTAGTTTATCGCAAATGTGTTACATCTAGAGGAAAAGGAAAAAAGAAAGGAAATAATAAAATAGAAATATCATGCAATAAAACATGGAAGTATACACATTATGGAACCAAAAAGTAAGAATGTCAAGAAAAAAGTAATAAGGAAAAAATCAGTGTACCTGATGAGTTCGACCAGTCAGAAGATTAATTTTACACTCAAATGCAAAATCCTTTGAGTGCCCTCCACAATCATAAATACCATATTCCCTTTCAATTGAACTCCGGGGCCAGGGTATCTTCTTGCATTCCAAGACCTCAAGTTTGCACATTTGCCATCCTTTTACAAACTCTGCAATGCATGGTAAGGATTAATTTGATAATATTGGATGCAAATGCTGGAATAATGGATACGAGACACTGGTAAGATGGTTTGATCATTTCATCTTGAATGTTCTCTTTTAATGTTCTTAATACAGCAATACTTTGACAGTCGAAGAATGAGAAATGTGTCTTTAAAACTCAACTCCATCGATATCAGCTGAAATGGAAAGAGTTCATCAGATAAGACCATTTAAGGACGATATGCTGGATGAACTTTCGATTCTCTTATCATTAAATCTAGTTATATGACCATTTCAAGAAATTTGTCTCGTAAAAGTCAAGCTTGTAATGACAAGATTCATACCGTCCGAAATAATTCTTGGGGCAGAATTAATAGGACGCATGTAATGCGTCATTATTCCGATTGGGACAGGAGATGTGGCCAGAGCAAGATAAAGCTTTTTCACCTTTTTTTCCTGACAACAAAATTTACATTCATTCCAAGATAGAAACAAAAAAGAAAAGGAAAGACCAAAACTCAATTCATTGTTTCAAAATGGAAATTTTAAAATCACCTACTACCATAAATGCATCATCTAAGGTTTTGTGAATATCACTTCGAAATACTGGTTTATGATTTGGAATATAGATCAACTAACCCTAATTTTTCCATGGAATACCGAGCAGTACTCCTTTGTTCGTGCCAACACAACACTGAGAAAAATATGAAACCCAATTTTTGATCTTTAGTTTTTTGCATCAAAGGGAAATAACAAAACATATAACTTAAATGCAAAAATATACCATCCTTCAGTACAATTATCAATCTGATGGGTAGTGAGCAAAGGAGTTGTTAGTCCTAATGCACGAGTAGCAAATGTAGCACAGCTCTCTTCAATGTTGTCTGTGGTTCCCCCAACCTAACAAAGTTGATAGAGTAGTGAATAAAAACTAAAAAGTGGCAGAGTTTCCTAACAGAGTGAAATCTGATTAAACATGAGAATCATAGTAAAAGGTCAAATAATCTGTGGAACAACAACAACAACAACAACCCAGTTAAATCCCAAAAGAGTAGGGTCTGGGGAGGGTGTGTGTACGCAGACCTTGCCCCTACTCGAAGGTAGAGAGGCTGTTTCCAAAGAGACCCCCGGCTCAACGTCGAAAGTTGCATTGCTTGACTAACTGCTACTTCATTAATTAAAGAAGCGCAAATAGTTTAGATATCCATTTTGATTTATTCCATCAGACCCCAAAGCCAAAAACAGGTGAAATTTTGGCTCCATCGGAGATGATGAAAAAGTCAAATAATCTGTGGAATTAGTTATTAATCAAAACTCCTTTTGAAGAGATAAAGGGATTGAGAAGAGGGTGATAAAAATTATGGTGAAGATGAGAGATTCAATTTTCATTTTAATCAGAGATTACTTATTTTCAAATATGTTCCAGGAGCCATATCACAAATTTCAATTAGATCATTAACATCAAGATCTCTCATTCTAGTATGGTGTATAAGTGTATTATACATACAGATGTGCCTGCAGGCTTGTCTAAAACCACATAGTTTTCCGCCGCAACAAGAATTCTAGACTTCCAATTGATCTCGTAGCACCTGTCATAATAAAAAACCCCATACCGTTACTAATCTTCAAAATAGAGAAATGGCCAACTAAAACAGCATGCATACTGTTAAATATTTACCTAGGAAAGCGTTTTGGGTGTACATGCACCCGTAGGTAAGTTCCGGGTTCAACGATGTGGTGAGCAGAAGTAATACGGAACGTTTTCTGTGCTTCCCTAAATGTTTTACATTTAACCGATGCTCTCTTCTTTAAAAGTGATGGAGCTGTAACTTCTTCATATAAACGAATTTGCTCAGGTGTAGCAGTGGGTGGTGGCTTTGGACATACTAACGCATAATATACAGCTCCAAAATGAATAAGATCTGTCACATATCTTAACAATTGAGATGGCATTACTGCTTTAAACACAAATCTTGACAATTATAGGTTACAACAAATGCAGCAATTAGTAATGCTACTAGAGCATATGGTAAAGAGATATATCACATACAGTTGAGGCAAATCCAATGCTTCACTAATGTACTCCATGACAGGCCCTTCCCTCATAACAACTAAGTGTTCAACTCTGGGGGGGAAATTCTGTGAGGGACACGGAAGCAAACGCTCATATTTAATGGCGCTGAAACAAATTCCAGACAAATAGTTAGATTTTAAAAAAATGACACCCTAACCTTCATATCGAATTCGAAATAGAACGAAGCAGGTAAATGAGTGTGGTACACCGTCTCCGGGTTGAACAAAGTATTTACCATTCAAATAGAGCTTAGATGAACACTTTACAAACGAATCAAATTCAAACAACCTATTATATTACTGCTTGGATAGTTCAAAAAAACTGGAATCGTGATCTAAAACCCATGTACATGGAAGCAATTTAAACGGGAATGAGGGAATACCGATTAGAGGAGGCAGAACAAGAAGCGTCTATGGAATCAGAAGAGGCAGATGAGGCAAAACTTAAGCTTCTGATCCGACCCAAAATTCCCGATCTTTGCCGGTGATTTTTTAAGAGGCGGCAGCATGAACGGACAACCGGAGGCGGCGAGCTTTTTGGCCAGCGAAACCTGAAGCGGTTGAAGATTGAATTGATGCTCGCCATTTTTTTTCTTGTGGTTTTGCAGAGGTTTTGTAAATTTTTAAGCCTTCGGAATTCACTAATTCAGACCTACACTCTAGTTAGATTAACCAAATGCTCATTTCCCATTTCCGTTAATATTTTAGTACTCCGTATTTTTTTTCTTCTTTTTTTTTGTAAATTTTTTTTTTAAAATTATTTTTATAATGTTCTATTAGTAATTTAGTAGATCTACTAGTTTTTTATAAAAATATTGAAATCCTATTTTGATATTTTTCAATGTTTTACAATAATTTCTAATTAAATTATTATGAAAAACATTAAATTTACATGAAACAAATTTAAAATAAGAAAACCCAAAATAGTTAATAGATAGATAAATAAAATAAGATACTTCAAAAGCTAGGGACGAATGGAGTATATCAGATTTAATGCATTATACGGAGTACATAACAATAGTTAGAGCAATTTCAAAGAGAATAGATAAATTGAGAAGGTATATCGTGTATTTACCTTCTCAAAAAGGTAAATACGGAGTATATCAATTCTAATAGGTAAAAGTTGGCAAGGAATGAAGGTGAAGGGAGAGGTAAGTTGAGGTTTGTAAGCTTTGTTTCTTCTTGATTATTGTTTTTTTAAAATTTAAAATCTTCATAAAAATCTAAGATTTTGAAAAAAAATAGATGGTCAATTGGAAAATAATCAAATATACCTTGTGTCCAATTATGCGTGTAAAATTATAAATACACAAGTAGAAAAAACTTAAAAGATACAAAATTAAAATTGTGCAGCATGAATATTCTAATGTGAGATGGAATATGATTACTTTAAAGGTAAGCAAGTACAAATGTACAATGAAGCTGCATAATTCATTTTAGTTATCATTTAAATCAGACAAGGAATTTGGGCCCGATTATTATAGTATTATACTTCCCTCAAGTCCAAACATGTTATAGTTTCCTCAATTCTGGTTTTCTTTCACAATTTTAATGAAATTTTAATTTCGTAAAGTTTAATTTATTTAAATGTCAATTATATACTATATTATGTACTCCTGTTTAATAAATACGAAGTACTTGATAATGAAAAATTCTTCTGATATAATTTTTACATTAGAGTAATAAAGTTAAAAATTCTAAAAATTACGTAGAGCCTTCGAATTATTGAACCTAAAACTTCGTTAATTAAGATCTAATATCCAAACCGCACACATCAAGTTAGTTCTGCAGGCCAATTAATAATAAGTACATACGGAGTACTCGGTTAGTAGTTTAAGAATTAAATAATGAGAAATGTTAGAGTCACAAATATTTCGGTCACAAAACACACAAACTTACCATTTGTATATTTAAATGTTTACTTTTTAAATGTTGAACATCATTTTATTAATTTAGTGAGGTGCACAAATAGCAAGTTTGTGTATTTTGTTACCAAAATGTTGGTGACTAGCATTTCTCATAAATAATTTCGATCCAAAATGAGACCCATTATTTACGTGTTATATTTAAATCCCCATACAGCAATTTCTGTAATCAATTATAAATGCAAGCCAACCATAATATAGTGGGTACAAGATGCATCCGTATTTACAATAAATGCATTTCTCATTCAAAACGAAAAAACTTAAATAAAAAAAAAGTACTGAGTATTTTAGTTTTTTCCATTTTTATTTTTTTTAGTTTGACCATCATAATCAATATTTTTAAATTTTGAATACAAATGACTAAAAAAATAAAATTATACTCTATAATATAAACCCAATATAAATAAATTGAATTTGAAACATATATAGTTTTCAAATACTCGACCGCTATATATTTTTAACTTAATATCTATCTGTAAATAAAAATATTAATGGTCAAAGCATTGTATTCAAAAACGTAAAAGATTAAATGAAAAGAATCAAGACTAATAGAGAAAGTATCTTGTTTACACATACTCTTTATTATAGTGTAAAAACATTTCACGTTTGACTAGACAAGTAAATCAAGAAAAACAGTATTACATAGTTGGAAGTAATGAAGGAAATTAAAAGAAATTATTTGGTAGAAAATAGATTTTTTTTGTAGAACGAAAAGAAAAAAATGTGAAACTACTTTATTTATTTGGTAGCAACGGAGTGTGGTATACATAAATAATCAATAAATCAGTACAATTAGGAAAGGCTGGTAGATAAGCCTCATTTATTCCTCCCTCTCCCGTCTCACGTTTAAAAGCCAACCCATTCCACTTTCCATTGTCCAATATATATATATTGTCCCTAAACCAAAACAAAGTCAAGAAACATTATATTGCATTGTGTGTGAGTGTTTTCATCAAAACAAATTGAACAAATTGCATTGTTTATTTTGTTCTACTTTTGTTTGTTTCTTGATAATAAAAAATACGGCATGGAGTTAATAGACGGCGTCATACTATCCTTGGCCGCCGTCTTCATGTGCATGTGGTGGCGCTACTGGTGTGTCACCGGCGGCGATGCGAAGAACCTCCCCCCCGGCCCGCCAGGCTGGCCGCTTGTCGGAAATCTCTTCCAGGTCGTGCTCCAACGTCGACCGTTCATTTACGTCGTACGTGATTTACGTAAAACGTACGGTCCGATCTTCACCATGCAAATGGGGCAACGGACGCTGATAATCGTCACCAGCTCCGAGCTCATCCATGAGGCTCTGGTCCAGCAAGGTCCGGTCTTCGCGAGCCGGCCGGCCGACTCCCCCATCCGGCTCATCTTCAGCATGGGCAAATGCGCCATCAACTCCGCCCAGTACGGCCCCCTCTGGCGCGCCCTCCGCCGGAACTTCGTGACGGAGCTGATAAACCCTACGAGGATCAAGCAGTGCAGCTGGATAAGGAAGTGGGCCATGGAGAACCACATGAGGAGGCTGGAGGAGGAAGCTTCTAGAGACGGGCACGTCGAGGTCATGGCCACCTGCCGGCTCAGCATCTGCAGCATCCTCATTTGCCTCTGCTTCGGCGCGAAAATCTCCGAAGAGAGGATCAAGAAGATCGAGAACATTCTCAAGGACGTGATGCTCGTCACGGCCCCGCAGCTCCCGGACTTCTTGCCCATGCTGACGCCGCTGTTCCGGCGCCAGGTGAGGCGGGCAAAGGAGCTGAGGAAGACTCAGCTCGACTGCCTGATCCCTCTGGTCAAAGCCAGAAAGGAGTTTGTTGAGATGGGGGAGAAATGTAACAACCCTGAGATGGTGAGCCCGGTGGGGGCCGCCTACATAGACTCGCTGTTCGGGCTCGAACCCGCCGGCCGGAAACTCGGGATGGAAGAGATCGTGACACTCGTGTCGGAAACGATCAGCGCCGGGACCGACACGAGCGCCACCGCGCTGGAGTGGGCCCTTCTCCACCTCGTCACGGACCAAAACATCCAAGAAAAGCTCCACCGAGAAATCGTCGAGTGCGTGGGAGAAAACGGCGTCATCACGGAGGCGGACGTGGAGAAGATGCCGTACCTCGCCGCCATCGTGAAGGAGACTTTCCGGCGACACCCACCGAGCCACTTCGTCCTGTCGCACGCCGCCACCAAGGACACCCAGCTGGGGGGATACACCATCCCATCCGACGCCTACGTGGAGTTTTACACCGCGTGGGTGACGGAGGACCCCAGCCTGTGGAAGGATCCCGGCGAGTTTCGGCCTGAGAGGTTCCTGGACGGGGACGGCGTGGACGTGGACATAACCGGGATGAGGGGAGTGAAGATGTTGCCGTTCGGGGCGGGCAGGAGGATCTGCCCGGCCTGGACGTTGGGCACATTGCACGTGAACATGATGCTGGCGAAGATGGTGCAAGCATTCAAGTGGGTGCCGGTGCCGGGCAGCCCGCCGGACCCGACGGAGACGTTTGCTTTCACGGTGGTGATGAAAAACCCGTTGAAAGCTGTCATATTGCCTAGGCTGAAAAATTGATGACATTCACATTTGTTCCATATATCGTATCTAAAACGTAACATTATAGTTTAATTAAATTATATTCATTCCGATCACTTTCACCGTGTGTCACAATACATAAATATTAACAAAAGTGTTTTCATTTTAATGTCTTTATAATTGTTTTTTGTTGTTGAGGAATGTCATTAATTATGAGTAATTTTTAATTAGCGATGGTCGTCATTTAATTTATTTTGTGTCACACTATCCACTCCGCCCAACTTGACATCGATGAGATGGTATTTTATATGCTTGCATTATTTTATGTTGTGATTATTTAACTTGTAATTTGGTGTTAAATTATTGTTTCTCTATCTGTCAAATTTTAAACGGCCTTCTAGAACAGTTTTTTAGAACATTTATTTCATGAAGCACCAATTTGATATTTCTTGTTCCTTCAAAAAAAAAAAGTAATTTTTCTTGTATGTGTACACACTCCGATCTGATTTTTTATATGGAGAATTAACCTAAATAATACTAAAATATAGTGACTTTCCCAATTTAATACTATATGTTTTTTATTTTTCAATGTAGTATCACTGTTCTACCACCGAGAGGGGTTTCACCTTTTCAATGTGTTAAAATTATTGGTAGTACATGGACTAGTCTCATTGATGACAGGGACACGGTTTTGACTTTGGGAAATCTTACCGTAATAAATTCTGCCCATGCATAACTAACCAACGGCTCCACGATTATATGTATTCACGATTTAAATTACTCCCTCCCTCCGTCCGGAAATATTATTTCCATTTGACTTTTCTTAGTCAAAGTTTATAAATTTTGACTATGATATATGGAAAAAATACATTGTATCACGATATACCTTTAACATGAATATATTTCTTTTGATATATAGTCTTCAAATATCAAATTTTTACAAAAAATATGTATGTATAAATAAAGATATTAGTGGTCAAAGTGTAATTTTGGAGACCGTAAAAAGTCAAATGGGAAGAAAATTTCCGGACAGCGGGAGTGATTCAATTCTCCCACTATATAATACTCCGCATATATTAATCTCCCACTCAGCCACTCCTCTCTCCATTATTTAATTATAATGTAAATTTAAATGGCTATATTTATTTTAAAAATTGTTTTTAGCATATCAAGTTTATATAACATATATTCATTTAAAAGTATATTTATTTGATAATTAAAATATGTCCTTACATATATATATTGATAATAAAAAATCAAACTCTATTTTTTTGGGGGTTTCTTAGTAGATAAAAAATCATTTTTTTCGATTTAAAAAAAAACATAATTTATGGGGGCGGAGGGAAGGCGCGGGGATGGCGGGGCTAGAATAGTCAAAGTCAAATTAGTATAGTACAGCGTGGCAGGTGGGGAGTGGTGAAAGAATTAAAAGCCAAAAAGGACAGCGCTGGTAGTTGGCATCGATTAATTGGGCTGCATTGGAGCCAGCCAGCCACAGAGTGAATAGAGAGCACGTAAAGTGTGAATCTGAAAGGCAATGATGCTTCAATTGGAGCAATGAATGCCATTCTTTTTAACGCTCACAAATTCAGGGAAATGTAAGATTGTGTTTACAACAATTGTGGAACCAAACTTAATGGTCTTTTTTTTTACTCCCTCCGTCCGGAAATGTTCTTCTCGTGTTGACTTGGCACGCTTATTAAGGAATAGTAAAAAAAATGCAAAATTTTCAAAAATGCACATACTATAAACTTTTAAATCTCCTTTTATTATTAAAAAAGTAGATTTGTGATAAAATAGAAGAGTATTATTGATATTTAGCCTTAAAAAGCATACTAAAAAAGGAAATGGGAAGATTATTTCCGGACGGACCAAAAAAGAAAATGGGAAGAATATTTTCGGACGGAGGGAGTATTAAATATACGTACTACCAAGAAAAAGAGTGAGCATTGGTTTCATCATCACACTCTCTTTCTTATCTAGGTGCTTGTTAGAGAAGAGCAAAGACATTGGATCGAAAAGATCGATCAGAATAGATTGGGATCGGATTGGAAAAGATTGTGACCAAAGTGGTCATTGGGATTGGTCCGGTCTTGGACCAGTTGTCTCATTTGGTCCTCTAAATTGGAAGAAAGACTAGACCGGTCACGAATCAGTGGTCTTTTGTAAAAAGACTAGGCCGGAATCGGATTATGACTAGTCTCTTGATGTAACATTAAAATATAACTTTTACACAAGTACTTCTATTTTTTAGCATATTATCTAAATAGAAATACATTTATTTTATTAATATACAACATAAAACTTCATATTCTTTTAATAGATTTCATAACAAATTCAAATGTACAACTTTATACTCAAAAAATAAAATTTTTGGTTGTTGTATTTAATATCTGTCTGTAGAATTTAGTGAACTGAATGACTTGCTTGTTCCATTGATACCGGAGGATATAAATACAAGTTACAAGCCCAACAAGATAGGCCCACAATATTACAAAATAATATACAGAAACTAATATAACATAATATACGCTAACACTCCCCCTCAAGTTGGAGCATAGAGATAAAAAATGCCCAACTTGGACAAAAGAGAACGGAAAAGAGGACCGGGGAGCGCCTTCGTGAAGATATCAGCTGTCTGCAACCGTGTAGGAACATAGGCTATGACAATATGAGCACGCTGGAGGCATTCCCGAACTATATGACAATCGATATCAATATGTTTTGATCGCTCATGAAACACCGGATTAGCCGCAATGAAGAGATCAGACTTGTTATCACAATACAAGCGCGGGGTAGCAACACAAGGAACCTGTAAAGCAGCTAAGAGACCACGGAGCCACCGGATTTCGGCGCAGGCGTTAGCCATGGCGCGGTATTCCGCCTCTGCGGAAGAACGTGAAACAGTGGTTTGCTTCTTAGTACGCCAAGAAATAGGGGACCCACCAAGAAGGACAAAATAACCAGTGACAGAGCGACGGGTGATCGGACAACTCGCCCAATCTGAATCAGAATAAGCTGTCAAGGTAAGGTCACTATCACGCCGGAGGAGGATACCCTGACCTGGGTGCCCTTTAAGATACCGGAGAACGCGAAGAGCAGCGTTCCAATGGTCCAGACGTGGAGCCTGCATAAACTGAGACAAAGCATGAACAGCATAACAGATGTCTGGCCGAGTAATAGTCAAGTACAACAGACGGCCAACAAGACGACGGTACTTGGCGGCATCCCGAAGCTCAGCACTAGTAGAGCGGGCGAGATTGTGGTTGCTGGGCAGTGGGGTGTCGGCAGGCTTGCATCCGGAGAGATTGTGCTCCTGAAGAATGTCCAATGTGTATTTGCGCTGATTAAGAACCATACCAGTAGAGGATCGAGCACACTCGATACCTAGAAAATAAGAGACCGGACCAAGATCTTTGAGCTGAAAACATGCATCCAAGTACTTTTTAAAGGAAGTGCACAAGGAAGTATTATTGCCTGCAACAAGAATATCATCCACATAAACAAGAACAACAAGTATATGAGGACCGCGACAGAGAACAAAAAGAGTATGATCCGCATGGGCCTGGCGAAACCCATAACGACGCAGAGCCATACGAAGCTTGGCAAACCAATTACGGGGAGACTGACGGAGCCCGTATAAAGACTTTCGCAAACGGTAAACCTTCCCAGGAAACAAATGAGAGTATCCAGGTGGGAGCTTCATATATATCTCATCCTGAAGATCCCCGTGTAAAAAGGCATTGTTGACATCCAACGGGTCAACCTGCCATCCTCGTGCAACTGCGACAGACAACAACACCCGAACTGTAGCCAACTTGGCTACAGGGGCAAAAGTATCAGTGAAGTCGACCCCCACCTCTAGGTGGTTTCCCAAGACAACCAGACGGGCTTTATCCCGCTCCTTGGTCCCGTCAGACCGATATTTAGTGCGATACACCCACTGACAACCAAGGGCCCGCCGATTAGGAGGTAGAACAGTAATCTCCCAGGTATGGTTGCGCTCCAATGCATTAAATTCCTGTGCCATAGCTTCCCTCCAAGAAGCATATCGGACCGCTTCCCTGTATGATGTGGGAACCGGAGAAGCATCAATAGCACCAAGAAAGCCCTTGTACCTGTTATGCAACTTATCATAATGAACATAGTTAGTAATCGGGAACCGTGTACCAGACGAGACGGAGCCAGGTGAAGAGGGAGACGGAGTGACGGTCGACACAGAATGGAGGACATAATCATTGAGGTGGGTGGGGAGGCGACGTGTGCGAGGAGGTAAAGGAGACGGAGACGGGACGGACGAGGTAGACTCGCCCATCGACTGGACATTGACGGGAAGAGGGGGCTGTTCGGTTGACTGGACTGGAATGGGAGACGGGGTTGAGGACGGTGGCGGGCTGGGCTGCTCGGTGGTGGTGTCGCCGAGGGAGGCCACTGCCGGCGGAGAGATGACGGGAAAGTCGACGTCAGCGGGGTTTAAGACGGGTTGGACGGAACTGGTTGTGTTTGGAACAGAGAACGGGAATTGTGATTCGTCAAACACGACATCCCTAGCGTGAAAAAACTGGTGAGTATCCAAGTTATACACCCGCCACCCTTTTGTTCCATAAGGATACCTAATAAACATGCACTTCACGCTACGGGGAGAAAATTTGTTTAGAGGTTTAGGTGTTTGACGGACAAAACAGAGACACCCAAACACCCGGAGATGACTCAAATCTTGTGGTTTAGACGAAAGTACTTCAAGAGGAGATTTCCCACCCAAGAGTTTTGTCGGTGTGCGATTAATTAAGTAAACAGCAGTTTTGACACATTCCCCCCAAAATTCAACTGGAAGAGATGCTTGAAACATGAGAGAACGAGCAACGTTGAGAATGTGACGATGCTTTCGTTCTACTCGACCATTTTGCTGAGGGGTACCAACACACGATGTTTGGATACAAACACCCATGGAATCATAATATTGACGCAAAGGGGCATTGAGAAATTCTGTGCCATTATCAGACCGGACTACTTTGATGATTTTAGAGAATTGGGTGTGAATCATGGTAAAAAACCGTTTAAGACAAGATGTTACCTCACTTTTAGTACGAATAAGATATACCCAAACAGCACGAGAAAAATCATCAACAATTGTGAGAAAATAATGAGCACCAGATGACAAACAAGG